TCTTCATCTGTAAAGAATTCGAGGATGGGGTAAAGGTCCTGGAAAGTGTTATCGAAGGGTACAAAGTGAACCCATGGAGTAAGGCGGTCGTCATGCCATTCAGCATAGATAGTAGCCTTGAGAGGCATGCTCGAGGAACGTAAGAAGCCACGAAAACGGGCGCTGAATGAATTGCCGTCGGTATCAGGCAAAAATTTGTAGCGGTACTGCTCCTTCATGGTCATATGCTTCAGTTCGCGATAATAAGGAGCGACGGGATCACATCCAACTTTTTCACATAGAAGACGCTTGAACCCGCAATCAGAGATCTGCATCAACCATTGACCAATAGTGTTGGAGGCGCGATGGGTGCTGTTGTAATGATCAGGAGTTGGCAGTTGAAATGTCTTGGGCTTGACACCTTGATGCTCAACACTGTCAACATATGAGCCATTCAGCATCTGGATAAGACGGTGACGATGGAAACGATGCCAGACATCAGCTCTCGGCTCACCACCAGAAGCATCACCTCTCCAAACAACGCCGGTTTTCTTGGCGTGCCATGCTGGACCCATCTTCTCCCCCCCAGAATAGAATTCGTCGGCAGTAAGGTACATGGCGCCAGGGATAAGGATCTCGTTGTTCATGGGAAGCTTGGATCCGCCAAACAATGGGATCAATTCAGTAGAAGTAGACAAACTGAGAGGCGCAACGAAGCTCCCGTGCATTTGGCGCAGATGTGGTTGCAAACAAGGGTCCTGAGCGGCAGTCCAGTTTTTGATATAACCTTTATAAGCGTACTCGGGGTCCCAATTTGAGGGATATTCAACAGGAGCCTTAAAGTCTGAGACTTGTTGAACATTGCGTGACGGAGTGTTGGGGTCACACGTCACACGCGCGAGTTCCCAATAGTTAGCTGAGCTATTGTACCAGTAGGGGTCGTAAGGCTGAGGTTTTTCGTCGTCGAGCTTGGACAAAGTCTTAAATTTTGTGAAGACCTCTTTCATAGGAGCAATGCGCCGATTGTCGCGTTCTTGATCGACAAGTTTGGATAATTCGTCGAAAGGAACAAGAAGTCGAGGTTCATCCATGTAGTTGATTGGCATGTCGACGTCGGGCAAATCCTTTGCAAACTCTTTGACGAGGTTGGTCCATAGTTCAAGCCATGGCACACGATCGGTTGCATCGCCAACACCGGTAGCCTCGCCATTGCGAACTTTCACGACCCAATGCCAGGCGGATGCACGCCTGGCTAAGGTGTGAGCGTCAAGCGCCCAATACGGAGCAAGATCCTTGTATATACGATCGAAATAATCCTCAACCACAATGCTATTGGAAGCGAGCGCAGCCTCCATCCACTTATCGAAGCCTGGTGGTGGGTGACGTCCTCGGCGGGCGCGATAACGCTCAGCAGCATCATAAAGATCATGGCTTCGTTTTAAAAGGAGGCTCTCATGGCGAGCGCGGGCATCTGCCATGAGCTTCTTAATTGGATGTTTTGGGCCCATAGTGACTGGGCCCTTGGGTTCTGTCACATCCCAGCCCTGGCTGCTGGTCCATAATATATAATTGGTGATAGCGAAACATATGAGAAATAGGGTGCTGAGGTAGCGGAAGACTAATCGAGAGGGCCAGTTCGATAGCCATTGTTTGAACCGAGGCCACATCATGGCCACAGATACGATTATGATGCGAGATAATGCAGGAGCCGGAGGAGTCGGAGAGTCTATGCGCGCCACCGAGGAGCGGGAAAACGAAGCATCGACGAACGAATGCAAGCTCAGAGAGCGTAGCCAGGGTGCATTTTTAAGCAGGATATTATTCGGACTTGCGACGGAGAAATATATGTTCGAGGTTGCTCTTGGTAAGCATTCGAGGGATCGCGGTGGCTTTTGTCGCAGGAAGAGATGTAGGAGCAGGAGTAGACGGGACAGAAGAGACCAAGAGGAAAGGAAAGGGAGAGAAGGGTAAGATCAGACAAGTGACGTGAGAATTGGTGAGTTGAGGTTGTGGTGTTGAGAAAGGTCAGGCGGAACGGGAACGATTTCCAGGACAAGTACCTGCCCTGTCGAGGTGGAAACTGGAAATCGCCGGGAAGTCGCAAGTCAAATCCAAGAATTGATCCTGAGTGGAGGGGGGCGTTGGAGCGTGGAGAAGTTACTTGGAGATTTGCGGAGCCACCTGTGCAGTTTGCTAACTCAGGTTGAGCAAGGTGCTATAAAGCCAGGGTGGTAGTATTGGAGCTTTGTCGTTGTACTGTCAATTGAAGAGACCGGGGCTCGAGGGACATAGAGAGACTCAGGAGCGTCGCTAGACTTTCTCTCTAGTTCTTGTCCTTCTAGGGCGAGTGGTCAAAGTTGTATCTTATCAGGATATTCAAACTCTAGCCAGATCATCTGCACGTTAGTCACCATATTAAGTCCGCTTCTAGAGATGATGTATCATGCTACATTTCCTGAGCCAGGTGGGTTAGAACTTCCCTTCAGGGGAGTACCATGTACCGAACAGCTTATGTATACAGTTCAGGAGTGAGTGTAGGAGGGTCTTGAAGACGTGGTCAAGAAGCATATAATTAAGTTGTTTCATGTGATTCAGCAACACCCAAAGTCTAACCTAAACCTTGACCTGTTATCTCTTGATATTCCCATCTTTCAAGTCTTAGCTCACAACACTTTCCACGTAGTACTACCCATCCTCGAGAGGCGCCCACCTTCCGTAGGAGGTGATGAATTGACAGTCTGCAGCCAGAAAGGGGGAACCAGAGTCTCAGAACGGAAACTAGTGTCCTGCCCGCGTCTAGCCATTAGCGGGGTGGCTTGGGGTCCATGTTAGTGATCGCAGGCTGGGTTCTATCCACTGACTTTAGTCTGGAATGCTATTTATGGCTTTAGCAGCTATCAACCGAATCCACGCCTCTTGTGAGCCTTTTACTTATGTGTTGTCAATCTCTTAGAATCGATCTTGTCATTGTGATGATAAGATATCAACTTACATCAGCATCTTCACTACTGACTAGCTACCTGGGATACACCTTTATGCATATCAAATTAGTCGCGTCTAGTTTTTGCTTTGGCGCGTGGTGGCTGACTTTTATCCATTTGCATACGCAAAGTGACATAATAGCGGATGACGAGGAACGTGTAAACGTAACCATAAAATGTCTTTCTTTTTGCACTACACTGCGTGCGGCGTCTGTACTCCCGTCTATACGGAGTATGTGTTCAGGGTTTAATGTTAAGCATTCTGGCATTCAATACGCCAAGTAAACTACCGTTGGTAATGCTTGCCACTTAGCCGACATTCAGTTCAAGGGTGCACCATCAACAAACTGTCACATAATAAATCACTTACGGGTCTAGCTACGGTCATTACGGTCAGCCATGATATGTACAGACGCAAAATCGCTTCATGTAGCCTCATGTGTTAAATCCTTGAGCAGCGGGTCGATGCAGGCAGCAACCGAGACCGCAAACATGGATCATGAAATAAATCGAACAAACGAACCCACATGATTCCTGAAACCGAAAGACTCGATTGGTTCTTCCTTTAATTGTAAAGATCTGAAATGAAATCACTGCGACCCTACGGATACAATACATGTTTTGTGCATAACCGACCTGTGATTGAAGATGCAGCTATCCCCGGCTCCGAAATGACAACCCCTGTCACTGATCCAGGTCAACTCATTTGTTTAGTATAATCGCTGGAGCCAACCACGAACTGGTTTTCACAAACTTTGTACCAGTAGTCAACCGACGACCCCTTTCTCGAGTGGTAAGGGAGAGAAACTCTGGGGAAGATCTTCCGAGTAGGTTTATTAGTTTATTTTTATCGTATATTTAGATTACGAGCGAAACGATTATTATTTACTCCCTGTTTAACCGATAGTCGATAAAGAATCGTATCTAACAGATGCTTGCCCCAAGACAAGAAGTTAAAGGCTCAGTTACAGTTATACAAAACCAAGAAGCAACACCCACAGAAATAAACAATATTAGCTTGGAAACCAATAACATTGCCTTATAGTCGTATAGTGTTCAACCCGTTGATCAGACCCGGAGTGCACATTTCATACTTTCCTACCGAATCTCATTTAAATTTCTTGAATATTCCAACATCCCAGCTTGATAATCACATCAAAATTCTCCGTACACTAGGACAGCCAGACATCATCGGCAACTTTAGTAGCTTAGTTATTATCAACCATGGTTGGCAACGTTTAGCTATTAAGACGTTTCTGAAATATTTATTTTGGCAACGTCATGCCAACACTGATCATGACAATAGCTGTATCAAAGGCCTCTAAATTTCATACTGAGGCCAACATATAGGCGAGAACAATGGAACTATCCGTGCAGTTTCTCAAGCCCACCCTGGCATGTTAATACGTCTGAGTAGTCGTCGAGCCAAGATCTAGTGTTAAGCCAGCAACATCCTCATCTCCTTGCCAAAGCAATCAAGACACAAACCAACGACCACCGAGTTCTCGCCACTGGCCTTAAGAGCAAGAACACCGAATTTCATTTCAGTTCATGTCGATTGGAGAGAATTCGCTTGCTACCCGTCAAGTGGCCTAGAGGCAATGTGAACGTCATGGATTTGGAAGCATCAACCTTTGTGAACCCAATGACAGAGCGTGAGGCAAAACGATTCCCATTGAAAGTCTCAACGAAAAAAAGCTCCGAACTCTTCGAACTTCCTTCTCTCCCACCGCAGGAATAACTTCCAAGAGTCAATTAGTTTCGACATCTGTCTTTCTTATAACTAAGGTCACCGAGGTTATCGCCAGAAGAGGTGCCCCACCACGTCGGCTAATCCACGGCTTTCAGCAGCCCGTCTCAGCCAATCAGAATTGTCTTATTCCAGGTCGGCAAGCAAAGAGGCGAATCATTCAACATCAACCAAGAAAGCTTCGCTCCGCCAACGCCGTCAACCACGCCCGCGCCAATCTCCCCTCCTCAGGCCCTCTGATATCGTGCGATCGAGGTTCGCTCCTCTGCCGAATCGTTATCTCGCCCGAAATGCTCTCTTCCACGCGGTCCGCGGCTTCAATGGCCCTTCGAGGTGCGTGCCTTGAACTCTTCCGGCCAGGCGAGCTTTATAGCTCGAACAACGAATTCGATCATCGCGACGCCAATACATGTTACTGACTTCACTTGTCACAATAGTCAAGCCTAAAACTGCCATTGTTCCTTTCCGAACTACCGCTGCCGCCTTTACGACCAACTCCCGCCGCGATGCGAGCGCCCTCCAGACTCACTCCGCAACTGGTGTAGGAAAGGTTCGCAGAGAGGTTCCGCTACCCAGCGAGGTTGCTCCTAAGGGTGCCTTGCAGTATGCGCTGTATGTTAATCCTGCAACTTTACTTGAGTCGAGAAAATTGCTTTCGTTACCCAAATACTGGACCAGCACTAACCTGTTCCATTCAACAGGACCACACTTGATGCCGTCACCAACTGGGCTCGTCAGTCCTCCCTTTGGCCCATGACCTTCGGTCTGGCCTGCTGTGCCGTCGAAATGATGCACCTCTCCACCCCCCGATACGATCAGGATCGCCTCGGTATTATTTTCCGTGCTTCGCCACGACAATCCGACGTCATGATTGTTGCTGGAACTCTCACAAACAAGATGGCCCCTGCTCTTCGACAGGTTTACGACCAGATGCCTGATCCCCGCTGGGTTATTTCCATGGGTTCATGTGCTAATGGTGGCGGATACTACCACTACAGCTACTCTGTCGTCCGAGATATGTCCCCCCCCCCCCCTCGTTCATACAGCCCGGCTAACTCCCTAGAAAGCTGCGATCGTGTAGTCCCTGTTGACGTTTACGTGCCTGGCTGTCCTCCTACGAGTGAAGCATTGATGTACGGAATCTTCCAACTCCAACGGAAAATGAGGAACACTCGCATTACCCGACATTGGTACAGAAAGTAAGGGTTCAGAACAGAGGAGTCGATCAGAGATTTAGATTCAGCTGAATTGCGTCAATGCAGTACTTTCAGTGGATCTATTCAAGGGAAATGCAGTGGAATGGTTGTCGTTGAGGAAGATGGCGCCCATGGAAGCATGTACAATTTAAACAGCTCCATCTCCTATGTTAAAGTTTGTAGTATTTACTTTCCTTGCTGGAGGACAAGGAACCAAAGGCATTCTTCCCAGTTCATCAAAAACTTCACTCCACTTTGTAGTTGTGGATGGTCTATATCTCAAGCAAGCATGTCACCCAAAGGAGTAGCACCACCTTTTAGACACACCAAGCCGAGTGCTTATTGTTTAAGGGAATAGGCTGCCATCCACGACCACTGCGCTGATTTAAGATCGTGCCCTTTTGGTAAGTGTCGGCTTTGACTTTCAGGTGAGTTTGATAGAAGGGGAATTTGAGTTCCCCTTAATGTGAGCAGTCCTATCAGAAGAATCCTTAAATGTCGACAAGCATATTGGTTCCATAGACTTTGGTGTAAGGATGAAATTCTAGATCGGTCCTGGGTTCAGAGCATGGTAATATCAGCGGTGAGCATTTCTCCGTCTTGAATGGCATTTGGTTGACAGGAGCAAGATTGATCTTAATTAGTTTTCAACAAGAAATGAAATTGGTTACCTGGCCTTACTCTTCTTTTGCTATCATCTCTCCATCCCCCCCAGTCTTCATCCATTTGGTGATCTAATAAAAGGCGGTCTTTCTGGCGTAACTCTTGTTGTAGTCCGAGACTCGACGAGTCTCAACCGCGTCTTGGTTCGTACAGACAATCCTCACAAGCCTCGTAGATACCGCCGATTATCAGGTCGCGTTCTTGAGCGACGATAGTACTTACTGGAAGAAGGGGCAAGGAAGAAGATACGTTGAGTTGTCCCAGCCACCTTCGAAGATAGGCTCTATATAACTCTGACTCCATCTCTTCAGTAAGAATTGGCTTGATTTCGCGAAAGGTGTAGATAGCAATGTGGCTATCACGTCTTTCGAATTTGCTGAAATATCTAGGATGAGATATTTCTTATCCGGAGAAGCATTCTCAGAAGTGCTGTCTTCAGTCATGGCCGGACCATGTTGATGAGATGGGAGGTTGACATAGATCCTGTTATGGGGTAATATTTCTCGGTTTCAAGATTGAACTTGGCTAACTCGGACCCTAGCCCTGAAAGAGGGCTTGATTGCTTCTCAGTTCTGAGATTCCTTTTAGAATTGGTCATGCAAGGAGCAAGTACACGATCTCAACAGGAGGAGATCTTGAATGTTGAGGTCTTTAGTGGAAGAGGCTTGGACAGAGCGGTGATCAGGGGAGTGGAGGTTGATACAAGAAATGGGCGCCCAGGGAGAATGGCAGTCTACATGATTGATATCGCGTGTGTGGGTGTATAATAAGTGATCGTGGTGATGTGAAGCAGAGAAACCTTTTTATCACAGGAAGAAATGTCCGGGACTGAACCTAAGCTTATGATAATCCTTATGATAATTTTAGGATCTAGATAAAAGTTTAGTAAAGTTTATCCTAAGTTTAGGCTGCTAGCAATGTAGCAATGGAAATAAGCGCCGAGCATTTTGCTGCGCGCCATGATCAGAACCAGAATATTGACGATGAGCTATCTTTGAATGCTTCGTCAGACTAATATCCCTCTCAGTACTCTGGTATTGTGTTGATGGTGAGTTTCCGATGGTCGAACTCCTTGACCAGACCTTGGTGATAAGTATGGTGACCGAAATTCTTACGACTAATATTCTGACCGCCGTCGTGTTTACCCCTAACCCTCTCGACAATGGACCCCCTCAGACAGTTGTTCAACTCAGTAGAGTGCTATTACCCTTTCGTCTCCTTGCCTGCATGATGGATGAAGGAATAACTAAAAGGTACAGACCCAGCCTCCTTTTCAAGAGGCAAAACCGCTCAGCTAGCATAAATCCAATCGGCGACTTGCGTGATGCCCACACTTGCATCGAACACAACAAGATGTGCAAAGGTTTTTCTCCCTGAAATGACCTGACTGGAAACAGTTCTCACACATGATGGCCCTTGTGGTGAAATCGACCTTGCCGGAGATTTCTAGGAGTGACTGATGTTCTTCCAACTGCTCGATAAGCATCGAGAAGGAAGGTACTGTATCTGTTGTGTTTGGATCACAATGATGTTGCGTAGTCTGGTACGTTTTAATGCGGCAGTGAGATGGAATTCTTGGCTAAAGAGTCTCAGTCGATCCAAGTGTTGAAGATGGTGGCATCAGCTTAGAAGAGTTGAAAGTTCTTCGCCAGCTAAGTGACTTGCCAGACAATGAGGCCAACAGGTTTTGAGTTAGCTAGACATAATGGATCTAACAAAATAGTCTTAGCTATATGCTTTAATATCGCAAGATACTTTGTGCTGGAATTAAAGTGCATGGTATTTGAAAGCGCTATCCACTCATATGTCTACTGAGATTCTTCGTCCCTTAGTTGTCCAAAACCGGCTCTCATCTATTCTAGTACTGCAGAGAGCCAGGATACAAGCAAGTTGGTGCGGCTACTGATAGGTACCTCTGCGTGCAGGCTCTTACTGTACTTAAAACAAGCCGCATTCAGTTCCTGCAGAGAAGTCTCCAAGCTACTTTAACGATGACATTAGATGATAGTATCCTAATATCATCATAAACTATCATAAATTCAGCAAGTAGATACCCTAAAACTATCCTAAATTATCCTAAATTATCCTAATATCCTCTTTAATTCCCCATCAGACAATACAACACTTATACCCTACGACGGGAGCAGTTAAAATATACACTTCATAGACAAAAGCCATCAACTTTGGCAGGCCCTTTCTACCGAGTAAAGAGATACCTTCTGGTTATATAGACTCAAAGAGTGATTTGGTTAAGACTGAGATCTCAAGATGCCGAAATAGCTTTATAAAGCCTACTTTCATCACTCGTCCCTGAAATTCGTTTCCTCGAGTATCTTTAAGGTCTTGGTTCTCTGCGAAATCCTTCGTTCTCTGGAGCATTGTTGTGACAGTTGACTATAGGGAGCGTAATACCTGGTCTGAGGAAAGGGGTGATATCTCTTGGCAGTTCTTCTGTTGCAGATATTAGCCCATTTCTGGGCAAAGGGATCTGATACAACTGGATCCTGTGGTTCATCAGAAATTTCATCGTCAGAAACCCCCTCAGCCAGGTCGATGTCCTCGTAGGGGTTAGCTCGGTCAATATCTTCTCGATTACGGGCTGCGCCATCGTCTTGTCGGTCCTCTCTAATGGGAGGTGAACTCCGATGACGCCTTACTGGAACAACGAAGTTCAAAAATAAAGTTGTAGTAGTCCACCTGATGAATTACGCTTGCACTTAATCTTGGTAGGAAAGCGTAAAGACAGCTAGATGGTGTCTCAACCAGGGAGAAAGCCAAGTCCATTGTGGCAGACAACATTTTCATTGCTATACACGCAGGACACATCTCGTTTCTTCTCAAGATGTACACCAGGTCGCTTAGATGGGAAGTGATCCATCGTTATGTTGTTTCTCTCCAAGATAGGTACAAAACAAGGCCGATATTGAAGGTGTCTGCATGGAAGATGGATCCGCTCAAGTAAGTTATACTCTGCTAAGCAAACAAAACCTTTGGTTTTGGATGCGTTCGTTGCTTACTGTTACTGATTGATATCACGTCGAGTGTCCGCATATTTCTGGCTAATAAGTACTAGAGCTAACGTAGATATCAACCGAGCATGGCTCGCGGGGATCCAATAGAACACAAATGGAAGAATTGTGCTTATGGAGTTACTTTGCGTAGCGGCAAACCTGGGCCATCAGGGGCCGACTTCAAAACCTCTCCGGGCCACATGAGGAGAGCACAATAGAAAGATCACAAGTTGCATTTATTTTTCGGCACTTATTATCAATCCCTCCTATCATTCTCCACCGCTTAGAGATCTCACCTTTAACCTCATTCTCTACCCTCTTTAAATCATCCAGTTATTAACTTCACATCTCATCCTTTTGCAGGCTTCCTTTAAAGCTCTATAATTAGCTTACAGACTCTAAAGATTGGCTTTTATAGCCTTTAGGATATAATAACTATAATAAGACAAGCTATACACTCAAGGTCTAGCCACATGGCACCTGTGTGTGCGCATCCAGATAAATAGACAACCAAGAAAGAAGATTAATTCACTACAGCTATTTGGATGGAAGGAATAGCAAAAAGAGACTCCGGTACAGGGAATCGAACCCTGGGCTCCGCGGAACTTATCTCTCAGGTTATGAGAGCGCGAAATGTTAGCCACTACACCATACCGGATCGATATAAGGCTTTGTTGAGAAAGAACCACATTACGGGCCTCCAACTGGAACTGATTGCGTAGTTTGCTAAGATCTACGATCAGTTCTACTCAATGCTCAATACTGCTTTGGGGACAGGGCCATGCAAATTGGAACTTCTGAATCTGGCTTGATTGTCGACTGGGCTTAGATACTCAAGTCCAATGATCCTGCAGCGCATGGGGAACAGTTGCTACACCTAGACAGAACCCCTTCATGACGCTATCAAAAGCATGAGAGAAACCACCAAACTTGAGGACATTGAATGAACCTTTATGGTCCTTGACGACCGACCCATGAACACGGCCGACTGGTAGAATAGGAGCACTGCTTCAGGGACATCTTTGGGGGGCCTGGAACTGCCTTGAAGAGAACCACTGAAGCAAAATTAAATGGGATTCAAGGTATGCTTTGGAGTTTCTTTGTTTTTGGATCTGAATGGATCAATCTTTTGATAGTTAGGACATACCACTATCCCTCCCACCAACATACCACCCCAACCAGTCATTAGCCAGAGACAACACACACACAAGAAGTTTGAAACACTTGACAGAGGTCAGCTTTCTTTAGCGAATCCACTGAGTCGGCAAGGACGGAAAACCTGTAAGAGACGCCACGATGGCCCCCTTGGTATGTCCCACGAAGATGTATAACT